TCTTTCCAAACTATATAAAATATAAATATAAAACATATTTACCAAATCATAACATCAAAAGATAAACATAAACACATAATTCTTTATGAAAAATGTATTTTTGCTCAGAATAATCTCAGTTAATACCTACATATATGCAAAAAAAGAATAATTCCAAGTCATGACAGACAGATTGATGGAAAGAAAATAGGCATTCAATTCAGAATTACTCCCAAACCTTATCACACATTACCTTTGGAAAACTGACTGAATAAAATCTAGAGTTATATTCTTCTTGGTTTAGGCAACTCACACATTTTCATTTAAAATATCAGAGGGCCTAAACCTCTGATCTCAAAAGACTGATATTTCATTTCAAATACATAAGTCATGTATTTGAGTTATGTATTACCAAAATTTATCACTTAAATATGCAGAACTGTAAGAGCAAGGCACTTGAAACAAGCTAGCCTTAAAAGTGTAAGAATCTGTTAAAGCATTAATGCCTACACACTGGACACCAAGTTTTATTTATTGATAAATTTATATTTTAAAGAGGCTTCAATGTCTTTGTAAGAACAAATAAAAGTATAAAATATTCAAGATAGAAACATACACAGAACATTTTCACACAGTTTGCAAGGTTAAGAGAAAGATAAAGAAACAAAATTCTTACCCTGAAAAGGGATTGTAATATGCTTGGTTGTAAACTGAAATAAAGTTAAAAACCAGTTAGCTTGCTTTTTACAAATTGATCAAAAGAAACCAAGTAAGAAATCTTAATGATCAACTTTTAGCTAAATAAATTGAAAAATTAAACGGCTAATTTAAGAGGGCAATCAACACTATTTCATTTATCACAGTACTCCTAAATCCCTACTAAAGAATGTAAATGACAGCAAGCTGACTTGCACAGGGGTTCAGCACTAAAAGAAGCAGCAAACCTTATAGAGCTGCCTACAGACTCCTTAAGAAGGGAAATGCTGATAGATGAATTCTCAGGCACAAGGAGCCTGTTTGTCAGCCTTCCAGAATACTGTCAGCTCATTACTTGAATTAAGAAGACTAGTTAAACAATCCTCCATTAGGATGTTATCTTACAACTTAACCTGTGAATTACAAACCCTTAAACTTGCTGCTTACACCACCACTATATTCAAAGAATGACTTAGCTAAATTAGAATTTTTTGTCATTTTGGCTGAAGCTTGTCATCTGTATTGTGAAAAAAAAATCTGGTATCTTACCATACTAAATATAAAAAATGAAGTCATTTTTTCCAAGATAAAATTTTCTTTAAAAACACTTAAAAAGTTAAGGATTATTTTAAAGATATTTCAAGCCTCCCCTTCAGAAGGTTTTGGCACATTTAGGAGATCTTTACGTAATGTTTTCATACTGCATGAGAACTCCTCTAAAAACTCATTTCTAAATATTCTCAAAGTGTCACTGTAATAATCCAGCTTACCCTAGCATGACCTGTTGGTGAACATTTAAAATTCCCAATGTATAAGCTAGCAAAAGTAATCTCCAATGCCGGTTTTATCTCTTCACTAGGTGTGCAATCAGAAGGTAAAGTGACAGGACATTTAGCTTCATCTGACTCCATCAAAACCTGTAAAATAAAAAGTGCATTTTTATTACAGGGTTTTGAATGAAATATTTCCCTCCTGTAATCTTAGGAATTTTCTCTTTGTGCTTGTAAAAGTTTACTCTCATATATAACTTCCATGTAAAATTTCCATACTAAAAACTCTAGGTCATTGCTTCTCAAGGGCTGAACTCTAACTTGCTCCAAGTCTGAACTTCATGTTGCCAAAAAACAACCTGTGCTCTTTACCAACGTAAACCCAGTGAAAACAAATAGAGCAAGGGAAAAAATCCTCCCTTTTGTTATTAAAGGCACAGGATGCCTATGTTTAGAGCAATATATCAGAGAAAAGTGGCAGCCGTGGCTCTTTTGACTTGGTTTGGAATTAGAGATAACCAAAATCCAGGTCAAATACAGCAGCACAAGGTTCACAAAGTCAAAATGGGGCAACAACCTTCACAGATAGTATAATTTGAATGCAAGACTGATGTTCATGAAAGGGAACAACTTGACCCTATCCCTGTCTGCAATCCACAAAGATACTAAGTTTCTCTGTGCACTGAATTACAATAGAAGACTAGATGACAAGAAAAAACTACTGACTTAAACTTCAATAAAAAACAAAGAATGTGGAAAAAAAAAATCAGAGAAGTACCTCCATCCTGTCCTATTCTAATCCAGATTGCTTTCCTGTTTCATACTACAAAATCCTTTCAAAATGTTTATTTTTGAAATATAAAATACACAGTAAGTTACAAAACCACTCAAACATCACAACCAGAAGTTTTCTCTGAAGACTGTCCAGAATGCCCTCTGAAATAAATTACTACAGCTACTGCTTGCTGCTAGGACTAATCATATCTGTTCTAAGCATTTCTCTCCTGTTCTAACACGTACTGTACAAATAATTAAAGGACTGGCATAACAACACACAGGCCAAAATTACACTACCTGCTCTGTGTGACTTTCCACCCTGTCTTCCAATAGCATTTTTGAGAAAAGCAAATCAGACTCTTGGTCTATTTCTTGATTATCAGTAATATCATCCTGCAGTGGCTCTGCGCATTTTGGTTCAGAAGAGTCATCCTCATCATCACTGGAAAGGACAACTAAAGAAGAAAACAAAAAAATGTATGCATATACTACAAGATGCAGGTTTAAGAATATTTTGTTCATTGAAAATTTCAGAGTGTACAGAGTACTCTCTCCTTTAGTACAAAGTACACCGCCCCACCCAGTCAGTGGCTATAACAAACAGCACTGCTTTCTAACTTCACTACAGCCAAGGTTCTCAAAATTTTATCTAAGTAGGCAGCAGGTAAGTTGTGGCTTCAAAAAGAGTTTATATTTCTCTCAACACCATTAAAGATATAAACTTACTTTGCCACAGCCACAAAAGTCAGCTGTAGAGTTCAAACTAGAATTGGAAAATCCTTCTATCCATGCTGTTTCTCAGTACAGTTCCCTCTGTGCTCCAGTATATTATAGCAAGCACTATTCTCTAACCTGCACTATGTACTACAAGCAATATGTTCTTTGTCATCAACCTCTTGCTCCATACATTTCAAACACTTGTCCTGTTTTCCCTCTCTGTCTGGGAAAACCACACTCCCAGGGTAATTGTCAGCAACACGCACAGAGTACATACTTGGCTCAACTGAAACAAGTGGCCGATTACCCCTGCAGATTCTGTTCTGTGGTTTGGCCAGATGCTGCGTCGTGTCCGCCTTGAGTTCCCTAGGGGCACTGACTCTTGCTGAAACTGCGTCGTCACTGTCGGGAAGCCGCTTCTCCGACGAGTTTCTGGGAGGAGACTCTGCCCCGAGTTCCTCTGCGCAGCTGTGGGCAGACCTGAAGTGGCTCTGGGTGGAAGCGTTTTTATGGCCCGTCTCTAATAGCTGGGGAACGGGGTCCTGCTCCAGATTAGTCCCATGGCCTTGTCCGTCCCCACAGAGGTTTCTGCAGTCAGGACACTGAGCTGAACTCCATCTTTGCTCCTTCTAGAAAACAGAAATCAGAAATGGGGTATATGTTTATTTCTTGACCTTCTTATGATAGTTCAGGTCAGCGACCATTGAGGTTGTGTGATATGCTAGATAAAATAGTTATTCCTTAGTGCAGCTGTATTTTATAGCTCAAAGTCAGAGTAATTCCTCAAAGGTTATTATATAAAGGTGAGAGGAAGAACTTCTAAAAGTATAGTATGTTCCCTGTTCAAACTTACTATCTATCTTTTAGATGCTCCTTTGAAGTCTGACCTTGAAAAACAAAGGGCTGGTAATTATCTTTATTTTGAAAACATATGGCTTTGTCCACCAGGTGAACAGGACTCTGTATCTACCACCTACACCAGTGGGTTTTTAAAAACAAGCCAACAGATATACCTTTATCCTATTCAAATGCTTGAATAAAAATCACACCTTAACTAATTCTCTCATCTTTTTTCCTTCCTCCCCAAAGCCCTAGTGACAAATCAGAATAACACTTTTGCAGACAGCATAATAGATTGAAGAGCAGGGAGGAAGATACCATCTTGGAGATTTCAATAACCCCATATATATTTTATAACTTTTGTTTGAACATCTCTAATCAGTTTGCATGTCCCTAATCAGTTTCACTCTCTGAAAGAAATGTTAATTCAACGGTCTAATGTCGTATTTCCTAAGCAGTTTTGTTCCATGCTCCTGTCTGAAGAGGCCCCCGTCACTCACCTCTCTCTGCCTTTCAGCTACAACAAGCATATTCCCAGACAGGGGAAAGAAGCACCCATGTTCATCCTTCCTGCCTCCTCTGCACTCCTCAGGTATACCCCTAGACAACCTGGCTACCACTGCAATTCTTGCATTTTGGATGTTGCTACTGCTACTAATATAAGTGACTTTGTGCCTGTGTACACACACATTAAAATTAAGGATAACTTACAGGTGGTAGAAGTGATTTTTCTGGAATGTGGGTGTTACAGTCATCACTAAGTCTTCTTTTCTTTTTCTCAGGATCAATGGAGCCTGATCCCTTCCAACTAACAGAGTTCATGTTTTTGTTCCTCTTGCCCTCTTCTTCCATATAGTTCTTGTTTTCTATGTCAAAATGTTAAAAAAAAAGAAAGAAAGAAAGAAAAAAAAAAGGAAAATGAACAAAGTTATTTAATGGATTAATCTCAAAAAAATCTTTGTATTTGTTCTTAACTGATAAGCCTAAATAAAATGCATTCAAGGAGACAACTTCCACAAGAGAGTTCTTCCTTTGTTAAATTGTGTGAGCTTGTCCAAGTATATTACCTAAAACAGTTAGGTAAAGATAACTGCTGTAAAAATGATTAATGCAGGGGTATAAAAAAGTTCATAGCTCCCAAATAACAACTAACTTTCTATATTCCACAGTCCTCCCTGTAGCTGCTGCTGGATGCAGAATTCTCCACAACTTGTTTTAATCTGCAAATATTGCTAAACTATGTTAGAAAGATGGTGCATTCACCTCTAGAGAGCCAGTATAGAGCTCATTTTTCAGGAACAAATAAAAATATTGTTGTTTAGCATGAACATTTTAGGAGGCTCCCCAAACCATGTGAGCATTCTAATACACTCCATTCTTTTTGTAGAGGAAGCATTGCAATAATGATACAGTGAAGCTTATTTCAACCTCCTTTTGTTCATATATCTGAGTCATCATGGCTTTATTGCTATTTAAAAGCACAGCTTTAGTCATTTGATATATTTTCCATATCTGTAAATAGTGCATTTTGCAGAAACATACATCCTGCCTGCAGGCCTGTTCTTCTTACAATATTAAAAATTTCCAATCCCCCAAACTTTTATAGTGAAATGCTAGATTATTGCTCACTACAAACCTTTCTTCTGTAGCTCACGTTTTCTAAAAGTGGCGACCAAATTATTGCTTTCTGATTCCTTAGAAGGCTCGATCAATTTACATGGGCCATCATCTGTCTTTCTCAGGCGACGCTCATTCCTGTAAAGAACATTAACTATAACTTATTTTTTATTTTGAAAAAATACTGAATGAAAATCCCAGGAAAAAGAAAAGGACCAGAAACTGCTGCCTCTCTCCTAAGCATGTGATGCTTGGCAAATGAACTGCAGGCTAATTCAGTTCATTATGGAAATACTCAGCTAGATACTCTGATGTTATTAACAAAACAGATGCTTCTAAAAGATGCGAAGGATGAAAACGCGACATGCTTGATATCAGAGATTGAATACTATTTTGCTGTAAAGCATAAATGAGACAGGAACACGTAGCAAGAACTAAAAAGGTGAATGAGAGCCGGTTGGTTGTATCTTTGCCTTTGTCATCTCTGTGGTAGGAATAACGCAACACAGGGTATTTGAAATCCAGATTTAAGCTGCTAGTAAAGTTCACTGTGTAAGTATTAAGAGATTTGAAGTGTGATTTCCTGAACAAAGAAGCCTGAAACAGTAACTTGAGGAGGAGTTGGGAGAACAAAACAAACAAGTAACTATGTAAATGGGGATAGAAGAAAAAGAGGAAAAGAAGAACTGCAGCAAGGAAAACCAGGAAGACTACAAGGTATCAGCTGAGCTGGTAGATTCGTTCTAAAAAGGACATGCTAGAAAAATGTATTTTTCCCTCTTATTTCTTTTTAAAAAATGTAACAGAAAAAAATCAATATACTAAGCTGCACTGATGGACTGAACATTATGATATTTTTACATTTGAGGTCTGACCTCGCACCAACACTCTTTTGGTTTCTCTAAAAGTTAATTACAGCCAAAAGAAGTCTATAAGTAGTTTGGTTTCGGGTATATGCACTATAATACTATACTGAATTACGTGGTCACATGATATTCTTGCACAGCAACTTAATGACATTCAGTACACAAGACTTCTAAGAAGCTATCAGCATTCTCCTGATAAAAAGTACCTAACCTGCATGGTGCCAGCTTCATTTGCTGCCACAGTTTGAAGAAAACAAAAAAATAAAAGAATACTTCACAGATAAAATAGTTTAACCCTGCTCTGGAAAATCTCCATTCCTTCTTATCACCTCACTTGTGATTTTGCTTTCATCCTTTTATATAAGGCCCAACTTACAATCTTGCAGGCCAATTTACCCAGTGCTACATAATGACCACAAAGGCACAGATGGCTGAGCTCGAGCCTCCAAAGCCACCCACCACAGGAAAAGAAGATTCCTGACGCCTTAAACTAGATGCTTGAAACTACTGGACACTTTCTAAACAAATGCCTGTGTTTCAGTGCCGCATCTGTAAATTGGAGCATCACTGCTTTTTGGGAATAGTGTGAAAAATATAATAAAGTTTTCCAAAGTGCTCAGATACTTCAGTAATGAACACTATGTAAATACCATGAAAAAAATCAATAATGGTCTCTCAAATCATGAGAGGCATGAAGCCATATAAAGCAAAATTATTCTATAAGCAGCATTATTCACTTGGTGCACTGAACAAGAGAGGACCTTTAGAGATTGGGCAGTTTGAGTTCTGGAATAACCTCACCCCAAGGTTTTGGAAACTATATGCATCTCTTAATTTAAATATATTTGCATGCATAACGACATTGATCTGATTATTAAAAAGACAACAACATTAAGTGCTTCTTGGCATTTAACATCAATGTCACAATCCATGTATTTCAACAGGAATGTTTCAGCTGAACTCTGACCATAGTCTATATGTTCATCTGTACATGTTTTATTTCTAATCTTCACCAATACAAAATCAGCTTAAAATGCACTGATTTACAGGTGTACACATCACTTAAAAACTATTTTTTTATTAAGTATAAACTGTCCTCAACAATCACAATGAACTAGTATGAAGCACACACACACACAAAAAAAAAAAAACCTGTTTCCTTATGTTTAATATAAATCTAATACTTGTCATATTGATAGGTCAGTGATAGGTGATTTAAGTAAATGCATTTTACACAGGGTTAGAATGAACAAGGAATAACATCCACAGAAAGAAAGGAGACAGGGAACCTGCAGGAAGTTTTAGCCAATAGAGGAAGTTCCCCGATACCACCTTGTTCTCATCACTCAATTATTTGATTAACTTGAGATTTTCATAGTACAAAACAGGTTTGATTTTCAGAGAAACAGTATGAGTGTGTGTGCCTATACAGGCATACACACAGACATATTACAGGGGGAGACATATTAAGGTTAAGGTGGGGGCTTTTATTCTTCTCCAAAAGAACAGACCCCAAAAGAGTCGGTGCCAAAAATATCCTGTGCATAGCTATAGGGAGATCATCAAGATCAAGTCTTTAAAAAAAAAAAAAAAGAAAAAAAAAAAAAGAAAAACACCCTCTAAATTTCTCCACTTGCTATGCAATCTGCTACATGTATTAATGTGCAGGTCACTTTGGAGGGGCTGGGGGTGGTGGAATGGCACTCCTGCTGGTTTCTGCTAATACCTGATCCTAGAAAAAAGGTCCGACACTTCACATCAGAAAAGCATATCACAGAATAGAAAATTAACCCTTTGTGAATGAACTAGTGTCTCAAGCAAGCTCAGCACACCAGCTACTGAAACAGAGCGAGACCTTACTTTGCCCAGAAAGACAAATGGAACTAGAGAACTACACAGCCTTCATTTAATCCCGGTTAATACAGAACTAGCTCCATGCCTATGTAAAACATCTGGAGTTCCCTCTATGTTCTTAATACTTTGTCATTAGACATTATTCTCTTCAGGGGGTGACACAGAAGAAAACTCTATGTAGCTTTAGCTATTGCAATACTGAAGAGTCTAATCCACTGTTCCTTAGCATAAAGCTCACCAGCTGCCCTTTTTGATATTAGCCTAATATATGGAAAATGTTTCCTGAGATTTAGAGAACTACATACAAAATCCCATGTTTTCTTCTGTATGAAGAGAGGCATTGCCATCATTCAAAACACATGTAGTGGAAAAGTGTGATACTAAATATTACAGATCATAAAAATTTTGCAGTCAAAAAAGACTTAGTCTACTACTAAAAATACATGTAAGTTTAAATGACTTAAAAGACCAAATACGCTGTTCTAAATCCCTCATTTTAAAATGCAGCTTTGCCAGGTTAAATTTAAGCAATTACAGAGATCCCAAAAGAAAAAGAATAGCAATCATCAATAATTCAAGATCTCTCAGATGCTCATGTATCAGAATGAGCAATATGACTTATTCTTCTGAAGATTTATGACATCTTTAACCAAGGAAGTGTCAATCATTCCTGCCCTCACAAATAATAATTCTTTTCCTTCCTCTTTCTATTTCCTCCCCAAAATGTCATGCTATTTGTCTGTGTGGATACTTTGCTTTTAAGCAAAGAGAAAGCTACTGAAGACAACAAAAAATAAAAAATAAAAAAAAATCCAGCTTATTCTGAATTCAACAGCCATCTTTGACCGAGACGAGTATTATATAATTCTAATCAGTTGTACTAATTTTGCATGTCAAGTATTGCTGTGATGGTCAGTCAAGAAAAATACAGGAAGAAAAGAGAAAAAGTAGATTCTGAGCAGTGAGAAAGCAATCTCTCGAACAACAGCACTCTGCAGATGTGCTTGTGAGCAGTGGGGAATTAATGAAAAAGAAATGAGTTATCACATATAGGCAATTTGGAGGATATTTTAAAATAAATTATTTGAAACGATGCTAGAAAAACAAAACAGCAACAGGAGAGCAAGATTTTGGTTCTAGACACAAAGCCAACTGAAATATACTTGAAAGAGTCACTTATATAGACCAAAAACACCGTTTTATTGCAAATGGACACTCCTTCTAGGAAGAAACAGCAACAGAGCAACATCAGGTGTAGCAAAAAATAGAATAAATGCAGTGTTAAAATAGCTAGTTGCAGCAGCATTTTAGTTCCCATTCAGGGAATATAAATTCTGTTTCAAGACAGCCTCAAAAACTGCCCAGCAAAACTGTTTTCCATTGCGAAGTCATGTTATTTCAGGAAGACTGGCAAAATCAGCAGTGAACAACATACCTTTTGGACAGAAAAGAACTCTCATGAGGAGGACTTAATATTTGACATGTCTGTAGGTTGGCAACAGATGATGAGAGTGGTTGACCTGATTGTACCTTGTCAGCATCAGATAAATTAGCATCAACTATTACGTGGCTGTCTATGTATTTTCTTCCAATTTTCGTCCTCAGGACATTCGTCAAGATAACTTTGGGTTGCCTGCCATACATATAACGATAAATCATAAATACTGCACTCAATTTCAGAGAAAGAAACTTCTAATAGTGCATCTCAGTGGCTTGATAATCCCCAACATCATTAAATAGTATTACTTCCGCCCTCTCCCCACTCCATCTTTTAGGGACATAGAACAAAGTCCTCCACAAAGCTAAAAATCCAAGGTGAGCAGATGAATGTGATAAGTTACAAGAAATGACAGAAATAATTTGTAAAAGGCTAGATGCATCATTTCACCATAAACAGATATCATGCACAGTGCATTGCCACTAACACATGATCTTAACACTGTTTTACAACAAGTAAATCCTTATCTCTAAATAATGTCCCTACAAGATCATAACATACAAAGAATCATGGAGCAAGGAAATCTATTTTCCCATGAACAAGAAGCCTCCAGTAAAGCACATTGGATTTCCTCAAGCACTTAGTTAACAGGTAGAAAGCCGTGCACACAAATTTAGCAATAAATCTTGTTTCTTCCCTCCCTCAGTTTCCAGGGTGGAGGGGAATACAGCAATGTCAAGGCCCAGAAGAACATCTGCAGATGTTAGAAAGGACAAATGTTAAAAATAAACAAAATATGAAAATGTGACTGCTTGAACAGTGAAGTATAAAAGCAGCACAAGACATCTGATACAAAGCAAGTGCAACAGTTTGCTGGGGTAGCCCTTCATTTACTTCCCTCTTTCTCAAATGGGGTTTTAAATTCTATCCTTTCCTTTGAAATTCTGGCTGGATTATGGTGTATGCCATGGCGTTTCTGGAATCTGCTTGGAACAACACTGCCTTCTGGATATCTGCTGCAGGTCTCTCCTGCCCGTGTTCATCCATGAAGTGCAGCCCAGCACTGTGCGATGTCTGGGAGAACCTGCATCTCCTGCTGCACCAAGGTGGCGATTTTCTTTTTATGGAGGGACTACATTAAGGGTAAGCAGTAGCTGAGGTACACAGGTGATCCACCGTGAGGCTAGGACTTAGAAGACAAGCCTAATGCAGAAGAACACAGTTCTTTGGACACAATCTCCAGTAACAGAAGCCCTTACATTTCTAAATATCTGTTGTCAGGAGCTGGGAAGAAACACTAGTGCAAGGAGAAGAAAAAAAAAAAAAAAGGCACACTCACTCTACCCATGTCCTGTTTCTTACCTACATCCCAGGTATCTCCAATCGAGCACTGCCTGATATGGAGCAGGAAGGGGAAAAATACAGGACTTGATAGGCCTGGCCTTTCTCCTGACCTGTTAGGCCTCCTCTCAGCTTTTTGTGGGTAGTCAGAGACCATAACAGTGAATATACTTTGATACCTTGTCAGAGAAAAGCAGACAGTTACCTGCAAGCATGCTCTTCACAAGACGAAAACTTGGCATTTTGAGAGTCCGACAGTTAAATGAGAGCAAATTGGTCCTGTCAACAAAGCACCATCTAGAAACCAGCTGCTCAGAAATCCTATTACATTGTGCCTGCCACCATCTCTTTCAATTATTAGCAAATGAAACTACGTACAAGGGAATCCAACCAAGTCAGATGGCATGAGTATAATATTCATGAATGAGACAAGACAACTTTAGTACAACAAATAACAGTTTCTCATGCAAAATAACTGCAAGAAAAAATATTTCTTTTAGTGATAGGAAGCAAAAAGCATTGAGCAACATACCTTTTGGATAGAAAAAGGCTTTGGAGAGTAGGATTTAAAAACTGCCATATCTTTAGGCTGGCAACAGATGATGAAGGCAGTTGATTTGACTGCAGCTTGTCAGCATCAGAAAAATTAGCATCAGTTTTAGGTTGCGCCTGTTCATATTTTCGTCCTATTTTCGTCCTCAGGACATTCGTCAAGATAACTTTGGGTTGCCTGCCATACATATAATAATAAATTAACAATGGGGTGCTGAGATCTTGTTAAATCACATGAATTCAACAAAACTTACTTTTTTAAAACCCTTTTTTAAGGGTTTAAAGCACCTTTTTTAAGGGTTTATTGTTCCTGTATCAAACTTAATAGCTTGAAGAGAATTAAGTTCAATTCCCTGACAACAACAGAGCAGTTCGCTTGAGAGAAGAGGAATCAGAACTGCTTTCTCTCAGTCAGGAAACCTCAGGGTTTCTTATTCTACCACCAATAACTATCACATCCACGCACAGTTCTGAACTGCCAAAATTCAGTGTAGAGGTATGTAAATTTTGCTGCATCTTTTTTATTGAAAAATATTGCAAGTAGCATCATTACTGCCTGACAAATGATTCCAAAAGTGCACATTTGAGCACAGTCAGGTATGAAAACAAGTGCTCACATCGTGGCATCTTACTTTAGAACTAGAAATATTCAGTGGTTCCCATATCACAACTTAAATCACAACTTTGCTGGAAAAATCACAGTAGTACAACCTTATAGTTTTGAACCCCCTCATGATTATTTCTTGTCAATTCTTCTAAAAAAAAAAAAAAAGGCATAAAATTTTGGATTTTTATGGTTATTAAAAGCTCCCCATTAAGACTTGAAACAAATGTCCATACTGCACTGAGACTTCCAGATAAATACTGAAGTCTTCACCTTAAAAGAATTAATTCCGTAATACGGCCGGTAGCCTGGACAGTCTCTTTTGGGCTCCTAGCCAGTACATGTCATAAATCCTCTGAGATAAACTGACAAATTATCTATCTCTTTCAAAATGGGTGAGAATTGGACTTCTAGAAAAACTGGTCCTAGTAAGACATTGAAACTCAGGCTCAGATATGATTTTCATAAGACTATAGCAAAGTAAAACTTTCTCTATGGCATGTCTAAAACGACAAATTAAGCTGTTCACATTTTACAGCAATTGTCTTTTACAGCTGGAAAAAAACACAGTTTCTCCTCACATAGACGTGACGTGCTACAGCTGTATTTCCTAAGCAAAAGGCTGCTACTGTTCAGCGGGTAGGCAATTGTGTAAAAAAAAAACCCTTAGGAAGTTACAGCTGTCCCACTGACATGCTGCATTCAGCTCAACAGCATGGTTGCACAGAACCTAGAAGAGTTAGTAGATTTAAGTATGCCAAGAAAAGCACTGAAGAAAAGCAATGCTTGAAATGAAAGAAAAGATTGGAAATTGCTTTGCCAAAGAAATCTTTGGAACTCAGGGAAGACATTCCAAGAAATCCTGACATTTTACTGTTGGACCAATAGCTACATGTGGAGATTTTTTCCCTCCCAGTTACTTACCATGTTAACAAGATGCTCTCTCCCACCCATATATCCCTCTACCATCCTCCAGGAGATTGAAAAAACATCAAGGTTCCAGTCTGGAGAACCTATCTGAGAAGCTACAAACACAGGTGAGTCTTATCAGATCATCGCCGAGTGCCACAACATGCATACAATGAGCTGCTCTCTCTGAGGACCCTTACATTTGTTTTTTAGACCATGGTCAATAAACTTAAATAGCTCCCATTCAACACCAGATAACAAGATCAAATAAAGTTAAGTACATATGTACAACAATAGTCTCTGTCAGCCTCATCAGAGGACTGACCCAAACAAGAGGCAACTCCAGAATGGCACAGGCAGAGAGAGAAAGGGGCAGATGCACACTGTTATTGTATCTAGACTTGTTATTTGCTCTGTGAGTGCTCAAGCAGAGAATGGCTATTTTTAGAAACTCATTACAAAATCTTCAATTGCAATGCATCTGCTTCAAATATCATAGCTCTTAAAAGGTCTGTATTACACTTTGAGGATCCAAAGACTGAAGCTTTAGGAGAGAACATGCTTCAACTAGTGCAAAGCTTAGAAAATTAATATGGGTCATGAGAGACAAAGTAACGAGGCCATGTGGCTCGATGGTTCTGTTTCTAAGGAGAGAAACAACACAAAATACTTGGAATGAAATACTCTCTGGAATGGTTAAACACTGCAGTCTTCTCAGACCAAAGGAAGTTTAACAACATTACTGCCTAATATAGTAGGGCCCAACTGTAGCAGCTTAATGAGAACATACCAACAGAGCAATGTTCTCTCCATTTAGTATAAGAAGCAAGAAACTTATTTTATACAGATTTCTTCCCAAGTCAGAAGTTCTAGCTATTCTCTGGGCTTTTAAAACACATGGAGTTGATACGCTAACTTGGATAATGAGTCAGGTTAGCTTTCTGTAACCAGATCTAAATCTAACTGTGATCTAACTGTCTAATCGTATACTACAGTCTTTGTACCTGCCTGCTTCTTCAAAGTTACTATAAAAAATACATGAGCAACATAGGTCATTTACAAAAAATATTAAATATATTGAAATAATATATAATTTTTAAAATACTGATTAAAACATTTTCAAAATTCAGCTACACACACACACAAAAAAACTGTTGGAAAGTTTACAATTACTAGGGCCATTAAAGGCCATTTAAATTTAACAGTTATGAAATACTTTGTGCAAATTCATCTTATGAAATTGGAGATTTGCTTGGATTTTGGATCACCTCTTTATCTTACCTAATCTACTTCAGAGGTCCAGTTACTGAAGGGCTATAGGGGAAAGACATTTCATCTTTTGAGATCTCAGAAGAGATTAAGCAACAGAAGACTAAAACATACACTTTCCCTCTAATAATATCTCCAGAATTGGCAATCTGTGCCCCTCCTTTGACTTAAATGGGCTTTAACAGGTTAGGTATATTTGTGAAAATGACCATTCCAGTTGGAGCACACATGCATCCACACAACAGTTTTGCACGAGCAACCCGGCCATGGGCAGAGGAACCCCAACAAACAATATGGGGGAGATGAGAGTACATCCATAAAGGCATCAGTGCCAGGCTACAGCATCACTTCTACACAACGCTCTTCTGGCTGAAGACAGCACCAACAACTGGGCAGGATCTCATTTTCAGGGGTATATAGTGCCTGCAGTGCTATGTAGAGCTATAACATAGTGCTTTCTATCTGGGGAGTAGTAAATGGTGGTATTTCTGGAAAAATTAGGTCATGAAGACTGAGCACAAACTGGATCAAAGAAAATAAACAGCTGCACAGCTGGACCAGCTCTCAGCCTGTAGCTCTGTATCAGTTTCAGGACTCAGACACAGATCCCTGTATTACCTGTTAAGCTGTCCACAGAACCAAGTAAACAAGACATATGAAAGAAATTTCAAAAGATAGAATTGATGTCAAGCAGGAAAAAAAAAAAAAGTGACAGACACAGCAAGCAAATCATACATCAACATCATCTGGAGGCATCTTGGTGATGGAAAAAAAAACCAAAATATTTTTTTGTTTTTAAGGCATCTCCCCTACTCCACCTTACTCCTTCTACTCCTCCATCTTTTTTTTCAAAAGGAAAAGAATATATATGTAGACAATGGCAACAGAAATATACTTACTCATGTAAGGGTGAAACAGGAAAAACTGTAATAAGAAAAATGCTGTCAGCTACTATTCCTGGCTAATCTCAAACCACTTCTCAAAGACAAAAATGTATTATCCTACCTTACAAAGGGCAGGACTGAAGATATTAGTTGCTTGCATGACTTGGGGAAAATACCTGGTCTCTTGACCCCTACTTAGGTAATATTTGGAACTAGATCCAGTTCTGTTTCAATTACTATATTTATGTGCACACCCATGTATTACCACTGCCTCCATTTTGCTCCAAGTTTGTGTTAGAGAGGGTGTCCAAATTAAAATCTGAAAGTTCCTGACTCCTTCTGCAGTTGCATTGATAATAGCTGCCTACACCAACCTCCTGCTTACAATTCTCCTCATGTATCCAGTTTTTGTAAAATCAGTATTGCAGTGGTGGGACGACAAACACATATGAGGGTGCTCCAATAGACCCTATGAGAACTCATTGCATGTCCCAGGTTTACAGAAAGCCATTGACAGACTTTTTGTTTATTCATAATTCATCTACTTCAGCTGAATCTACAGCCTATGCATAGCCCAAGCAGTGCTTGGCCTTTTGGAGTCCAACAAGATGAAATGGTGCATCTTTAATGAGAAACTGTCACCAGCATTCATTGACTGCTCTACCTGTAGGTAGGAAGAGGACAGGCAGAGTCTTTCTCAACCCTTTCTTTAGTTCAACAGCATTCTGTTTTAACAGCAAGCCTTAAAAATCCCTACTAACCTCCTTGGCTTTGCTGGAGCAGAAAGTGCCAGGGCAAAGGAAACCTGTACATAAGGAATTACCACAAAAACCTGACAACCATGTGGTAGGTATTGCATTCAGCCTTAACACGTATTTCAATTAAAGTTTACAGTGTTGAGTTGGCAGAATTACACACATTTTAAAAACTCCTCCCAACCCAAAGCAAGCTTGACGGACCTAAACCAGAAACCTGATTTTCAAAGTAGCGCTGTCCTTCCTGGATGACCCAGGAGTAATACAGTAGAGGTAAAAGAAGGTCTCCAGGCTATGGCAATAAATACTGTTATCCCCTTCCTCAACAGTAAAAGCATTACAAAACATTTACAAGATTAATCACATAAATATGATGCAAAACATTTTGCAAAGACACTAGTAAGATAAACTATTGGCACTTAAGTAGCGGCAGTAACAATGGTAAAGTCAACACTTAGGGTAAAATGTGCCTCCCTAAATATTTGATAGGGAACGTATCTTGGGTAACACCAAACAAAGGCTACATTTTTAAAACAAGGGCTTATCATTAAGATGAATATTTTCTTTTTATCCAGACAGAAATTTTTGCCT